GCCATATAAGTGAAAAACGCATATAAAAACTCCATAAAGATGGATTCTTAGATTCATTTGTTTTCAAACAATATAATGTATACGAATCTTTCTTGTTGGGAAAAATGACTAAAGCTCCTTTTAATAGTAAAGGTGAACGAGCAAGTGATTTATTAGGGTTAATGCATAGTGATGTATGTGGACCAATGAATACACAAGCCAGAGGTGGATTTCATTACTTCATTACTTTCACCGATGACAAAGTCGATATGAGTATATTTATCTTATGCGCCATAAATATGAAGCCCTTGAAAAGTTTAAGGAATTTAAAAATGAAGTACAAAATCAACTAGGCAAGAGTATTAAGGCACTTCGATCAGATCAAGGTAGAGAATACTTAAGCATAGATTTTGATAAACTCCTAAAAGAATGTGGGATTGTCTCACAGCTTACACCACCTGGTACACCACAGTGGAATGGAGTTTCTGAAAGAAGAAATCAAACACTGTTAGACATGGTTCAATCGATGATGAGTCATAGTGATCTTCCGACTTCTTTTTGAGGACATGCACTTGAAACAACCACTTTCACACTAAATTGTGTTCCATCTAAATCGGTTCAAAAGACACCATGCGAGATATGTATTGGGAAACGTTCTAGTATGTCTTTTATGAAGATTTAGGGTTGTTAAGCTTATATAAAACATCAGATGTCTACAAAGCTCGAACCTAAATCTAATAAGTGTATATTTTTTGGACATACTAAATAAAGTAAGGGATAATATTTCTTCAACCCTAACGAGAACAAAGTGTTTGTTGCTCGATCAGGAGTTTTTCTTGAAAGAGAATTTCTATCAAAGAAAGGGAAGGGTAGAAATATTGAACTTGGAGAAGTTCAAGAACAACAAATAAATTAACCTGAAGTTAAGCATGTTTCACAAGTTGTTGAGGAGCATTCAACATATTTAGAAACACAACCACTGCGTAGATCCACAAGAGAACGTCGTGCACCTGAAAGATTTGGATTTCTCCTTACGACATATGGAGATGTTCTTATTATGGATCAAGATGAGCCCATGACTTATCAAGAGGCAGTGTCTAGCCCAGACTCTAAGAAATGGCTTGAAGCCATGAGATCTGAGATGGATTCCATGTCAGTAAATCAAGTATGGACTTTGGTTGAACCACCTGAAGGGGTCAAACCTATAGAGTGTAAATGGGTTTTCAAGAAGAAAACTGACATGGATGGTAATGTACAAACATACAAGGGGCGATTAGTTGCTAAAGGTTTTCGACAAGTTCATAGTGTAGACTATGACGAAACATTCTCCCGTGTAGCTATGTTTAAGTCCATCTGGATCTTACTCGCAATAGCTGCATTCCATGATTATGAAATCTGGAAAATGGACGTAAAAACTGCTTTCCTTAATGGAAAACTTGAAAAGGATGCGTATATGACACAACCAGAAGGTTTTGTCATTCCAGGAAATGCTAGAAAGGTTTGTAAGCTACAGAGGTCCATTTATGGACTAAAAAGCAAGCTTCTCGAAGCTGGAATCTTTGTTTCAATGATGCAATCAAAAAGTTTGGTTTTATCATAAATGAAGATGAGCCTTGTGTTTATAAGAAGGCTAGTGGGAGCATTGTTTCTTTCCTAATCTTGTATGTAGACGACATACTCATCATAGGAAATGATATACCTACTTTACAGTCTGTTAAGACTTGGTTAGGTAGTTGTTTTTCTATGAAAGATTTGGGTGAGGCCATCATATATCTTAGGAGTTAAGATCTATAGAGATGGATCAAGACGACTTCTAGGTTTAAGTCAAAGTACATATATAGACAAAGTGCTGAAAAGGTTTAGTATGGAAGAATCCAAGAAAGGATTTTTGCCTATGAGACATGGCATTTCTATTTCGAAGGAAATGTGTCCTTCAACTCCACAAGAAAGAGAACGGATGAATAAGATTCTATATGCTTCGGCTATTGGTTCTATAATGTATGTCATGATATGTACTCAACCAGATGTATTGTATGTTTTAAGCATGATGAGTTGGTATCAAGCGAACCCTGGTGAAAATCATTGGGTTGTGGTTAAAAATATCCTTAAGTACTTAAGAAGAACTAAGGATAAATTTCTTGTCTATGGAGGGGAGGAAGAGCTTAGTATAAAAGGTTATACTGATGCCAGCTTCCAAACTGACAAGGATGACTCACGACCGCAATTGGGTTTTATGTTTTGTCTTAATGAAGGTGTTGTGAGCTGGAAAAGTTCGAAGCAAGAAACAATAGTTTATTCTACAACAGAGGTTGAATACATTGCAGTCAGTTAAGCAGCAAAAGAGGTTGTTTGGATCAAGAAGTTTATATTGGAATTAGGGGTTGTTCTCAGTATATCAGATGATATAGAACTCCATTATGACAATAATGGAGCCATTGCACAAGCAAAGGAACCCAGATCTCATCAACGATCCAAACATATTCTTAGGCGCTTTCATCTCATTCGAGAGATCATAGATCGAGGAGATGTGGAAATATGCAGAGTACACACGAATGACAACATTGTTGATCCCTTGACGAAGCCTCTTACACAGCAGAGGCATGATCGTCACACTGAGTCACTCGGTATTAGATATGTGAGTGATTGGTCTTAGTGCTAGTAGGAGATTGTTAGAGTATGCCCAAAGACCAATCATATGATGATTGTAATAATATATTTATTTACCGATTTTATTGAATAAAGGCATTACCACTATTATATTCAGTTATGTGTTTGTGTTTAACATAAACTGAAAGATAATAAAGTCCATATAATAACATTATTAAAAGATCCATAGTCAAGTATTATTATGGTCATGGACAATAATAATATGCTTAAGACTAACATGGTATTGATTGATGACAAGGAGTTGTCATTGACATAGAGATGTCAGAATTGATACATGATTATATTATTAGAGAACAATGTATTGGATTGACCCATCATGAGCATATGTCTTGGATTATTATGTAACGGTCATAACATTGCTCATGGTGATGACTATATGTATGATCCTCAGACTTGAGATCAATGTCATCCCAACATATATTGTTGTATGTTTTGATACAGTTAAACATGCTCTATAACTGGTTGCACTATAAAGACTGTTATTGAATATATTTCGATATATGTAGTGGGGTGTATATGGTTAAGATGGGATTTTTCCTTCCTACATAATAGGAAATATATCATAGGCCTCTTGATTGAGTGAGACTAGAAATGCATGGTCATGCTTGAATAAGTTGATATGTGATATCATATTCGTTAATTATAGTCTACTCTAGATATCAAAAAACAATAGATGGGCTATACAAGTGTGACTATTCTAAGACTTTTGCCTATTCTAGATATAAAGGACAAAAGGATGTAATACATAAAAGAGTTAATCACGAAGATAATATGTCGAATCATAATTTCTTGTAACTTAGGTGACACTGATATATTGCTAGATGTCACTCATTGTATGTAATATTAGAATTGTTCTAATAATTAATACTAACGTTACAAAAACCTACAGGGTCACACCCTAGGATTGAAATGAGCAAAAAATGTACAATTTGTTGTATGTTACTAAAATATATCTAGAGTTATGATATGTATATTTGATATACATATGGTTTTAATTATTCCGAATATAGTAAGTAAGCATTAAAAGAATGTAATTTAGATTACAACTCTTTTAATTGGTATATATCATTCGGAATAATTAAATAAGTTTTTAAAGACATATTAAAGATGATAATTCAGATTATAAGTCTTTAATGTATATTTAATTGAATTAATTCAATAATATTTTATTGTTAATTTGAAATAACTTTAAAAACCCTAAGATGTTAGGGTAATGGATATAAAAGGGTGTGTTAGGTCTAGCAGCCGTTTTTAACACACACACATAAACCTTAAGCCGTTTTTTCTCTCAAAACAGTTTTGGGGAAAACAAATATTGCTCTCAATCAGGTGAACTGAGTAAAGGCCGAGACGTGATTTCGTGGAGGCTTACGATTCGAACCGATCTACACCACCAGTATTCACTGTTGTTCTTGCTATTTTTCAAGGAACCCTCTGTAAGTATTCGCATCCCTTCCTCCCGATTTCGGTTTTACGTACTTGGATCATTGGTTAGACCATCGAGTTTTGTTTCCACTGCGTCGTAGGGTGCCCCGACAGTCCCAACATATACAACATAGAAAAACACTCAAAACACAGCAAAGTCACACCACAAACAGAAAACACATATCCAAAACCATAGAAGACAATATATGAAATATATTTTTCCTTCTTAAGTCTTGAATCAAGCCACTTTATGGAATTCCCTTGATTAAGAAGGAACAACTTGTTATACGTCCAGAGATAAGCTCTAGAAACTACTATCACTCTGTAAATCAAGAGCCCTGGACAAATTGTCTCGTTTATCAGAGCTTTCAAAGAACTCATCTCCCCCGGGTAGACGCTTTCGAGCCAGTAACAATGCATGCAAGACCATTCGAAAAGATCTTTGATGTACCCACATGATCTTCCAGAGTGAAATTCAATGTCTGGATATCATATCTACCTAGGAATGACTATAATGGCCTTATACATGATGCTGTCAGCCAAAACCATTATAAATACCCCTTAACATAATTGAAAAAGGGGGTTGGAACATCCTACAATACACATCATATCTCTTTCTTCTTCACGAGTGGCTCTATCTCACATAAAAACATGAACCAAAACTTATCCTATCGCCGACCATGACTCTTCACCTAAACCAGAAGGGGTGAACTGTTGATGCCTCACGAAATTAATTTTTTTTTCTCTAAAACAATTTTCATTAATAAAATTAAAAGGTCCTAAAAAGTAATTAATCTATAAAATTAGAGGTCAGAATTTCATTTCTTCAATTTTAAAACCAATAAAATCTTAAAACAAATAAACCAAAAAAAAAAATAGGAGGAACAAGGACTTATTTACAGTTGTTTCAAAACTATAATGAACACCTTAGCCGCAACCATGAAACTACTTTGTTGCAGATTTCTTATTGAAAAGCCTATCGATATACGTTTATAGGGAGCCCTAACGCCATGAAACGCTTTCAAGCCTTCATAATAATACAAAATATATTTAGTGGATAAGGTTAAATGCCTTCATCATGGTAGGATTGACGATGCTGAAACCTCCATCCACAACAAGGTTGAGCCCACTTACATAGTTGGCTTCATCACTAGCCAGGTATAAAGCTGCATAAGCCAAACCCTCTGGCTTTAGAGTTTCCCCTTTGAGATTCCCCATTCCTGTTAGGGTCTGTTCCATGTTCGTAACCTCAGCTTCATTAGGTACAATCATCGGAGTTGCAACTCCATAAGGCGATATACAGTTCACTCTTATCCCATGCTGGCCAAGCTCAGCTGCCAAGTTCTTAGTCAGACCCAAAACTCCATGTTTCGACACTGCGTAGGCATTGCCTGATAGCAGCCCTGCGATTGCTGTGCATGCACTAGCAGTGAAAAGTATGCATCCTTTACGCTGAGGCACCATCACCCTGGCTGCATGTTTGGCTCCTAGGAGAGCACCCACCCGGTTTACCCCAATAACTTTGTCGATTTCCTCCTTCGTGATGTCCAAAATGGTGCTCATGGGGCAGTCCAGGATGCCTGCATTGTTGTACATTACATCGAGTCTTCCGTACCTGCTGATCGTGGCGTCGGTGAGGTTCCGGACATCGTCTTCCTTCGTCACGTCGCAGTGAATGTAGCAATCATTTTCACCGAGCTTATTGACAAGGGCTTCTCCTTTGTTGTCATTGATGTCAGCGATCACGACTTTTGCACCATTTTCATGGAAAAGGCACGCGGTACTTGCTCCAATGCCGCTTGCACCTCCTGTTATAACCGCCGCTTTCCCAGCCAATCTGAAATTAAACAATAACAAAAGGCAACCAATTATATAGTAATAAGGAATTTGCTAAGGAATTGCTTGTGGAAGTAATTTAATACCTTCCAAGTGGTGATACCAAAGAAGAAACATTGCTCATCTTTCCCTTACAAGAAATCTTAAATCAAGCAGAGAGTAGGAAGAAACGAGAGGCAATTGATTCTTGATTCGTTGTGAGCTTTATATATTAGTATAACTTGTTGAATAAAAGAATATGATATATTTAGATTTCAAAGACTGAACTGTAAACATTAAATTAAGCGGATATATATGCAAATTACAGATGAAAACGGAAAGTTAACTGCCGACAATATTGGTAAACGTTGTGTGTATATATACAAAGCAACAATGAGATGCATAAACTTGGGAATAAGATAAAAAGAATTACAAGCACTTAACCACGAATTATAAAATTACGGAATCGATTAACCCCTACTTTAATAAGCCACCTAAAACATTAGGTATATTATAAAGAGGTTAGATAGGTTGGTTGGCTGGCATAATTTGTTCATAAATGGGGACCACTATAAAATAACTCACTTACTAGCATTTACACGTGTCGATTAAAAGAAAAATAATAATTAATAAAATTTTCATTGGTAGATAAACAACCATCGAATTAATATTAACAATCAGAACGTATTAAATTATATCAGTTATTAAAACGATAATTATTATTTTTAGAAATTATAAGTTTAAGTATTAAGGAATATATGGTAATCTAATGTTTGTTGTTAAATATTTAAGAGTTTTTAAAATAAATATTATCATGTATAATTACTTTATATTAATTAAAAAAATTAATATTGACCAAATAGGTACTAGTAAAATGTTTTCGATAGGTTGTCATTCAGTGTCAGTAAAACGCTAACCTAACCTTCAAAATTGACTGAAACGGACTTGAGTCAAAATTGTTTGTGACATGAGTGGTGGTGAACCGAAATCGATTCGATTCCGAACTGGTGTTTACCTAAATTCGAATTAGACCTGAAAATTGTGGATCTGAACTCGACCTGCACCCAATTTAAGAACAACCTGAACTTGAATTGAACCGATAATATGATAAGTGAACCTAACCTGCATCTGACTGATATGAACCCGAACCCGAGATTAACCTGAAATAACTGATATTACCCGACCTATTATTAACCTGACCTGTTATGAATATGACATATAATTGACTCAACCTATAAATAATTCGACTTGTTATTGTTGATTTTATCTAATATTTACCTGACTTGATATTTACCTTATTTATATGTTACAATCGAAAAAGTTGTGAGATTTTGAATTTATAATGAACTATGATAATTAATATGATTATTTTCTAAAAATTAAAATAAATCGTTAGTTATTATAATTAAAATAATGAATTTACTTTCTATATTAATTATAATGCTTATATTATAAATCTTAATGATAATCATTAAATTAATTTTATTAAATAATTTATTTATTGAATATGATTTTATTAGATTATATAAAATTAATTTAAATATTTATAAGTTTAATTTATTTTTTCATATAATAATTTAAATATAATTTAACATAAAATTTTAAAATATACATATAAGATAAATTTATTTGAGATTGAATATATATTCAAATGGGTAGTGGGAGAAAAAATTTTAAAAAAATATTTTTTTTTGTGTGAAAATTTTGAGGGAAATTGGAAAATTTTGGTGCCAGATTCATTATTTAATATTTTGGTAAATCTAGAAGTTAGGCGCCAAGTGAGCTTGATGTCTAATAAGATTTTTTGGGTTAATTAGGCTCATATTCTTCTATTAATCGTCATTTTTATACTTTGTAATTTGATTTTTGATTTCTTTCATTTTAGTCATAGTTTAATTGTAAATCTCTTCTTTAAATTTTAATTCAAGGCAATTTCATATTGTATACATTCTAATTACTTTTAATTTTCCCTTCTTTCTTTAATGTGTATAATTATTAAATGTGAATGTTTATTTCATAATCTTTTATTTTAGTCACTCATGTTTAATTATATATTTATATGTACTTTTATATAAATATAATATATATATATATATATATATATATATATATGCATATAAGATATATATGTATAAGTATATACATATATGTATATACATGCATATATATACTATATGATATAAAATGGCTGTCCCTTTTTCCCATATGTATGGGGTAAGGGGGAGATAAGATAGTAGGCTACCCCCAACACCAGGTTGAGAGCAGCTTCCGTAAGAGACCTCCGAATTATGAAATGCCCTCCGTGGGACTCGATCCCACAACCTCAAGGTTAAGAACCTTGTGCTCTAGCAACTGAGCTGGATGGTCATATATATATATGATATTTATGCATGTATAACATATATATATATATATACACACATAAGTATATACATCATACATATGTATATATATATAATATGTAGTTAATATATTTATACTTATATTCTTGTACTATATAATTTATATATAATTTATATACTTATATACTTTATACTTTATATATATATATATATAAAACGTGGTTCGATGAGTCGCCACTAATCTTTGATTAGGGTGTGTTTGGGCACCTAAAAATAATTTTGTCATTGTAATAAAATATTAATTTTAATTAAAACGAAAAACTTGAGGTCTACGTTACCAAAATTGGAGTTCAGGAGTCGGTTATGTGTGGGGAAGGATTAGCACCCCCATAACGCCCTAAATCGGTACCTAGTGGATTAGTTAATTGTCTTTGCAATAAAATTTACTGGTTCGAGTCTAATTTAATTTAATATCCTCTAAATAATGTTCTTTGAATTTTCAAATAAAACTTGATAATATTTAATTATTTCCTATCGAGAAGAATCTATCTCTCATACCTTGAAGCTATCGATTCTTACTCCAATCGAAATAAATAAATATTAAAATTTCATTCTGAAGTTTATTATTAATTCAAAATAATAACACCCAACATAATTTTAAGAGTGAAAATGATAATATATAATTACTTCCAATCGAGAATAAATGACCTTTCGTGCATTAAAACAGTCATTTATTACTCCAATTGAAATAAAGAGATATTACTATTTCATCTTAAAATTTAATATCGATTCAAGTGAAAATAATAATATCTAATGATTTCCAATCGAGAATAAACGACCTTTCATGCATTAAACATTTATTTATTACCCCAATTGAAATAAAGAGATATTAATATTCCGTCTAAAAAATCGATATTAATTCGAGAGAAAAAGGCAATATCAAATTATTTCCAATTGAAAATAAATGACCTCTTATGCCTTAAAGCATTCATTTATTACTCCGACCGAAATGAAAGGATATTACCATTCTCATTGTCGATTCGAATGTTACTATTTTGAAAATCTATCGGAAAACACATGCAAAAATAAAACAAATAAAAAGCATACATCAAGCAAGCACAATTAATTAATTATTTTATCGATATTTAATGAGAATAAGGATGTTCAATTATTTAAATATCTTCAGACGAGGCCTTAGATTCGTTCTAACAACCTTTTCTCGATGAATTTAATTAAAAGAACATTGTCTTTTTCTCATTTCCCGAATTTTAAAAAATGAAATTGATTCAATTCGTGTCACTAAATGGGATAGATTTTCATTTTAAAATTATCGAAAATAACTTTCTAATACGTTAAGACAATCACTTTACGATAATATTAAAATGATCGAATATTACCCTTAGTCGATTTATTTCGATTCGAGTCAAGTGATGCTTATGAGGATATCATACAAAATTAATTAAAGATGTCCTATAGCTAAATTCATATGTACAAGTGAATGCAACTATATATGTAAATTATAAACATGCTAAAAAACTAATAGTATTTAACTATGACTAAGAAAAATAAAAATACACGTATACCTAAATATTGTAATGAAACATATAATAAATTCATTATTAACAAATATGTATTACTTTACCATGGAAAGAAATGAAATGGAGAACATTATGAGGTCAACATGCATTCAAAAGTTATTTACTTAAGTACACGTTAATTGCCACACACACCACAACATAAATACATTTATTATATATGTTATAATAAAACAAATGCGCATAATTAGGAAAGAAACATATTTAATAATAAATTAATATACTATAACGAGATTGATGCAAATACATGGGAAGAAAAAAATAAATTTAAAAGGTATGAAAAGTGAGTCAAATCAATAAAAAAAAAGAAATTAAAATGAAATCGGAAATGAAGTTAAAGGGTATATTATTAAAAGTAGACATCATATTATATGGAACATATACACCTATTATATATAAAATACATTTAAACTCTAAACTTAGGATAATTTATATATATTTAATTAATAGATCCGAATATAAATTATTTTAAATCAAAGTTAGCTAAATTAAAGGGATTCGTAATTTATGGAGGTTAAAAGTTAAAGTTACTTAAATTAGGATTTAAATAAAGGCTAAATTAAGGGCCAAACCGATTAAGGTCAACATCTACACATTAAAAAGGAAATTAACACTAGAAAAAAAACTATTTAAAAACTAAAATAAATGTAATAAATTACACAATCACAATGCAAATATTCAGAAACATAATATCTACTCATAAATAGCACACGTATTCAAGGACCAAAAATAAGTGGCTTTAAAATGTAGGAGCCAAATTGAAACATAACAACTTACAGTGAGGACCAAACGCATAAATAAACCAAAACACACAATATTAAAACAATGACTGAAATGAATATATTTAAAATTACATGCTAAAATTAAAATGAACAACAGTACATAAACTGAGGTGACCAAAATAAATGCGCGAAAAATATAAAGGCTCAAATCATGATAAACATAAACTCGTATTTCGTGACTAAAATGAAACCTTATAAAGAACCAGACCATTCTCGCGTGATTAGACCATGCACCAAATTCAGGAAACCCTAATCCCAAAACGACGTAGTTTCACAAATCATATATATATATATCTGTGTGTGTGTCTGTCGAAACGATTTTTTTTAAAAAAGTGAGATTTTAAAAACCACATTAATTCTTAATTATCCTCTTTCAATTGATTTTTAATTTAAAAACAAATACGATTTAAAGACCTCTTGTTTCGAAATATTTTGGATTTTCTTTACGATAGCAAAAAAAAC